ATCGGCGGTTCAAATTAGGGAATCTTCCAGATCTTGCCAAAAAAAAAATTCAAAAAACCACTAAATTTTCTTGAAAATCTAGTTTCTTATGTTTCCTGAGAAATTGACGGTATTGCATTGTAGATTGTCATTATTTTATTAAAAATATGTCAGTAATGAAAACATGTCTCATGCTTCAGTGTTTGTTGACCACTACATCCATTCCATATTGATTTAAAGTACAACTCATTGCGGTAAAATGGATCTCTCCAATTTAATTTTTTTGTTTTTTTTCAATATCCATTACCACTTGCACTGGTAAATGTAGGGGCTTACTCATTCTTTATTTCCCCTTTTTCGTGAAAATGAATTTACTGAATTACTTATTTACTTCCATTTGTTTTTTATTATAACGAAGTTGCGTAAATCTAAGGATCAAAGTGCTGTTTTTATGATTTTTTTCCCATCAGTTTTTCATCGAACTCCCTCATTCGCTATATTACTCTCTATTATTTTTTTATCTTCTTTTTTTGTCTTCTTTTCTTGTCGTAGAGTAGCCAGTTACAATGAAACATAATAATTTAGTCTTTTCTTCATTTTTCCTAGAGTAGCCAGTTACAATGAAACATAATAATTTAGTCTTTTTTCCATTTTTTTGACCAGCCAATAGACATCACCCACGACTTTTTTTTCGTTTCCATTCATTAACTTAATTTTCCCAACTACAAATGCCCCTAATGTAATTCTTTCTCACATATGTGATTAACTTAATTTTCCCAACTTCAAATGCCCCTAATGTATGTGATTTATAGCTAAGAGTCCACTAAAATTTGAGTCGACTCCGCCCTAGCTTCTCCTCGGCCTCATCACTCACCGCCTAACCAAAGCTCTAACTGCTTTTGAACAGACGTCTCTGTCTCTCTCTTAACCCTTTAGCCCGTGAATCAACCCTTTTATTGATCTCCAATGAGAGAGAAAGAAAACGAAAATCCTATTGGGCTAAACATGGAACACCATAGGGTCAGAAAGAAGAAAAAATGCCATAAACTGAACATCCGAAAGGGACTCCGAGATATATATATATATATATATATATATATATATAAAAATAAAAATAAAAATAAAAATAATTATCCTTGGCAGTCACAAATAACTACTCGTCGGGGAGTCGCCTATCAATACAACTCCTTTGATGCTTAAAGGAAACCGTTTAAGCTTTTAAGTGCTAACCTAGAGAGAGAAATTCCCTGTTTTGATTGCTTTTAAGTCAAGCTACACTCTATAGTCCACTCGTTCTTGTGAGCTTTCATTCTTTTGAAGTTACGAAAGCGGTACCGATAAACTAAACCGTTTGAAACTAAACCGTTTGTGAAGTTACAATAACTAGTTGAAAACCAAGCTCTTTTAATTGTTCGTATTTCGTTCATTATATCGGTATGCTCCCAAGTACCAGTCATTGTGATCCGTTTGACAGAACCCAAGTGATCTCTTTGTGGAGACCTCCACAAAAAATCGTTTTTTTATGGTTTTCCCGCTTATCACAACAGCTCTTTCCACACCTCCGGATATGTGGTGCGAAATCGTCACCCGTTACTGATTCCTTTACTTCTATTTAAACTTCTCTTCTCGTTTTTCTCTCCATCTCTAGGGCTTCTAGAGCTTTTCTTACCTCCCTCAAGCCTTCAAGACCATGTAGTGCTCAAATTATCAAACAGCCATTAGCCTAACAAGACCTGGGAAGATCTTTCTAAGCAAAATTAAAGTATCTCAATCATCCAAACTTCAGGATCGGTAGTTGAGACAAAAAAATTGGAAACCAAAAGAAATCTCAAGCACTAGTGGCAGTATCCTGCATTTTCAAGATATGGTTCATTTGAAAATATTAAAGACCTTTTCTTTGGATCACGGCATGAGGACTAAGATATGAAAGCAAGGGAATACTCGATGGTTTCTAGTCCCGAAAGTCCAAGCAAGGGCTTAGCTCATGTAAGTAAATCAATCTGACCAAAGTTTTAAAAGCAAAACATGATAGGCAAATATTTCCGGGTTAGGATTTGGTAAGTAATGAAAACCAAAATCAAAATGTTCATTCAAAGAGTTACAAGTGTTTTGAATTACAAGTGGTTAAACTGTAAGACCCATCTTTTCAAGAAAATGTTTCAAAACTGTTTTCTCAAAAGGTATTCCAAAAAGTTTTCGTTTCATAAATTTCTAAAATAACATTTTCGAAACCTTTCAAATGCTCCATTTTCTTAACCATAAATATTATTTTACATTTTTCTCAAAAAGATTTTTGAAATGTTTCTGGAGTTTTAGTTTTTGAAGATCTCAAAATAAGCCCCATAATGATAAGGGCTTTAGTCACTTTCTAATATTGATTTGATTATGCCCTCAAGACAACATTAAACTACTGCTAAGAGGGCTCCACAATCACATGAACCTTAAACTGCTGACGAAATCATTTTCTAAAAATCTTCAATTTTCAAATTTTTTACAAAATATTTTAAAAAAATGAAAGTGTTGGATGAGGACCTGGAAATGATGACACAGTCCCATTGCCGTAAGAAGTCAAAATCCAAATTTTTGGAGGATTGCCTGAATAGGAAGTCGATCAAGAATGAAACCTTTCAGTAAAAAAATATGGGGCCATTTTTTTTTGTACTCTTATATATAGAGCATTTCTTTAATGTACTCAACATTCATTTCATATTCATTGCCCCTTTTTTCTAATACAAAATATTTCAAATAAGAGTAACTTTGTTATGAGGAGCAGAATAGATATTTCTATAAGAAACTATTGGTATTTAATTAAGTAAAAAAATTATATTATGATATAACCTTATAATGTACAACTACGGATGCACCTCAAAAATCCATCGGAAAATGTAGTTTTAATGTTGAAAAACCCTTTGATTGATTATCTCCACATCGAGATGTATGACCATGAAAAAAGATTTTAAGTCTTAGAAATAGTGTATTTTACAATATATTATCAACACCGTCCATTTTCAAGATTTTCATACATTTATAGATCTACTTGATTTTAACCATTTTTTAAATTTAAAATTTTATAATTAGATATAAAAATATATTTTGAGATAATTCTAAAAACATTTGATATCAAAATTATACACCTCATGTTAATAATGTCATTATCCCTTACAATTAATAAATATTTATTATTTCTATAAAAAAACTATATTTTACTTGCAATTAATTACCTAAAATACATGTGGGGTAAGAGTATCAATCGTCTCAACAAATTGAGTAAAATAAGAAAATACTCCATGTGTAAGAGCACCCTAACAAATCCACATATATATAGCGATGGCAATGGACCAGAGACCAGCCAAGTATACCTAGACAGGTCCAAGTATGGATCGAACATTTGGACTCGACGGATCGGGTTCAGGTCCAAAACCTAGACCTCAACACTATTCGGGTCCGGGTCCGAGTTTGGTTGGACCCGACCCATACCTGTAAACTATTGGAGATAAAATACTTCAAGCCCTATTTCTTTGGGTGCATTAAGGATCATATAGGTTAAGGAGGTTACATTTATAGTATTTTGGACTATAGATATTTGGGCATCAAAACAACCTCTTCTAGTAAAATTTTTAAAGTGGGCTCAAATTTGATGGTTTAAAGCCTCAGCTCTATATAAACTTTTCCCATACAATAAAGAGCCCATTCCTATTCTAGGAAGCTGCATTAGTACTGTAAGGCATTTTATTTTTATTTTTATTTTTTGCATAAATGATGGGAATAGATCAATTAAGAGGCTTTAGAAAAGGACCGAGAGTTGTTACCAGTCCAATTCTATGCCCTTTCCTAGACAATAGATCAATGAATAATACTACTAGCATATAACTAAAGGTTGCAGTTTGTTTAAGACTGAGGCCTTAGACAATCAAAGTAAGGCTCACCTGAAATTTTATTTTTATCACTAACTATTAAATTTAAAGCTTCAAAAATAGTGTAGATCAAACAGATCTATGAACACTTGAAAATTGACAATCTAGACAATGCATTACGTGAAGTACTATTCCAAAACATGAAAGTCCATTTTTTTTTACATCCATGTATCTCAAGGTCGAGATGATTGGATTAAAGGGTTTTTGGCATCGAAACAATTTTTTCTAGTGATTTTTTGAAGTGCGCATTAGTTTGATTGTTTAGGGCCTCAACCTTGTATAAAGGCTTTTCACAACTAAATACTTGGACTTATGTTCTCAAGGACTTCTACGTCCCCTCTGTTACTTTCTTTCTTCTACAAAATTGCAAATATATTCATTTGTTAGAAGGGTACTTGTATAAGGTGTTTACCTTAAAACAATTAAAATAAGGCATACCTCTAAATCTTACAAGAAGATGCGGTTAGGGTGCTGGAAATATCTAGCATCGTCTAAAAACCTATCTTAACACCTAATTGTGAAATTTGAAACTCCAAAAATAATACTGATTGAACAAATCTATAAACACTCAAAAACTTTAAAGATAAACAGTCTAGATAATGTGTTAGATGCCCTATGTTTAGAACCTAAAATCCCTTCTTTTTATTTCATATACAATTTCGGGTTTTTTGAGGGTATACAATAAAGGTTTTTCAATGTTTGAACAACAATTTCAGGTGGATTTTTCATGTGTTCCTCATTTCTACATTTTAAGGTTGACAACTTGTATAAACTTTTTCCTTGTCGCAATCCAACAGGTAAAATAAGTGATTATGTATCCCTCTTTCCATTTTTGAGATGCCTCAAGAATGTCTAGCATAATTCGATTTCAGCAAAAGGGACCATAAGAAGTGCATTGCAACAATGCAATTTCACCAAAAAGGACCATAAGAAGTGCATTGCAACAATGCAACATCACATTTTCTTTACTCACAGAGCGTTAACTCTATAATGATATTAAAGCATAGAAGATGGTAAGAGGCTTATACCAAATAGAATAATCTCTGCCATTCATTAAGAACAGGCACTTAATCTCTCAGCTGAGCTACTGTGCAGAAAGCATTCAGCTGAACACAACCAGAAATCGCATTGGCAAAGGCAAAAGCGTTCAAGATTACAGCATTCATAATACAAGAGCTCGCCCTTACCTTAAAATGTGAGGCTCAGAAAAGCCTTTGGGGATTTGGCTTTCTGAAGGGGAACCCACACTCATTCGATTTGCACATGTTTTGCTCTACCAAGGAGTATGGCATATCCCCAAACCCATAACCCACCACTTCATCGTAACCCTGCTAAAATAATAAAATCAGATTTAGGGGAATTCACAAAGATATACAGAAAATTTTCATGCCTAGGAAGCTTTACAGGATTCAATTGTTGAGTAGATGGATCAAAATCATTGCTGCTTCCATTTAGCATGATAAATCTTTGATGTTTCAATATGACATAGCAAAGATCTGAGAAACATGCTCATAGGCTGTCCCAAGGTAAACGGACAGCCAAGTTTATCAAGTTTTTTGGTAGAACACTGATTGATTACTTATGAGGGCAATTCCGTGTGAGGATCATAATTGTAAAAAACAAGTATTGGAATAGATTCCCCATACAAGACGAAGGGTACCTATAGAGATTTCCAAAAGGAAATTGCCTCTTCAACCACCAGTCCTGCCGGAATTCCCTGAAAATTTGAGGCCACTATTGTCTGGGTACAAAACTATATTCTCCCTTAATTTTGAGAAAGCCATATGCTTTTGACTTTTAGAATCCACCGAAACGAGTATTTGACACAAATTGTCCCCGCCAAGTTTCCATGAACAGAATTTCAAGACAAAGCAAAATGAATTGGAAAATAAAGTACAAGGAGAAAATTTAAGCATCAATCACAGGAGAAGTTCTGGAATGACACAGTAGGGTTTGGTGCCAGTTGGATTTTGGGATCCCAAATCATGGTTTTGTTTTAATTGGTGTAACCAAAGAATCAAAAACTAAAATCTAAGGCGCAAATTATGAAGTAAGCAGCAAAGTACACATGCTACAAGGTCTCATTCCAAATACAGGAAACTGTGTAGGGGTCTCATGAATCACTATGCAGAAAGTGTATTGCAATCATAAATATACAATGATACCTGTCCCTTTCTCCTAGCATAGTAAGGGGTCAAACAAGGATTCATGTCATTGAGAATCATGTCATCAGGGCTTCCTGCAATCATTGTATCCCCAGAGCTAAACTCCTGAAATATTGTGCAAACTTTTTTATGAAACCAAATATCACAAAAGAACAATAGATAGCGCCAATTTTAAGAAAATACATGCTAAATTTGAAAAAAACTAGTTATTTCGTTTGAGTAAGAAATGACTCATTGATATTATATATAGATGCATGAAACAGAATTACTCTTAAGTGGTTAGAGTGCAAAAGGATCATAAAGAGGTTCAATCTAATGATTACCATTGAATTCGCAGCTTCTTGATTATATATTGGGGTACGAGGCGTGCTGATACTTCCATCATGGAAAAGCCTCATTGAATTTTTATCTCCTTTCACCTGACAATACAGCAAGATGTCAGCAGCAAATGTGCAAGGCAATTTGCAACTAAACTCACGTATTTTTTTATGATTTGCGTAAGAAAATAGAATCACAAACACTAATTACCAAATTTCAGTTTTCCTCCAGAACTCATTGTCAAAATCGACAACAGAAATATTTCCAAAGGACCAGAACTAGTTCTTTTGAATTATGTGATCACATACCACATTGTACATGATAGAAAGTAGTCTATATTGGACTAAATTGACTCGCTTTATTTCCAAAAGGAGAAAATTTGTATAAGGTTGCAATCTTAAAATGTAGAATTAAGGTGCACCTCAAAAATCTACCGAAAATTTGATGTTGGAAAACCTTCTAATTGATTATTTCAACATCGACATGTATGAATATATAATAAAATAGAGATTTTGAGTCCCAAAAATAGTGCATCTTGCAACACATTATCTAGGCCGTCCATTTTCAAGATTTTCATGTGCTTATAGATCTATTTGATTTGATAATTAGATATGAAAATGGATTATAAGGCCATCCTAAGGATTTTTTACACCAAAATTACATCTTATGATAAAACTTGGATGTGCACCTTACTTGGATTGTTTAAGGTCTTAACCTTATACAAACCACACCTTTCCAAAAATTATTTTCGTCCAATTTTTAGGGTCCAGAAAATTGGCACACTAGTGAGATAATTTGACTCAGATGAGCTGAGCCAATTTGCCATGAGAATTAAACATGCAGCATTAATCTATGTGAAATACATCAAAATGAATGCATTCAAATACCAAACTACTCCAAAAGAGTGAAATTAGGAGAACCAATTCCGACCAAGTTCTAATAGAACTTTGCCACGGTACAAAGAAGTACACAACATAAATTACAGAATCACCAGATTACTTGTCTTTGTATACAACACAAATTACAAAATCACCAGATTACTTGCTTGATGTTACATTAATTAAACAAATATTTTGTCGATAACAAATACAACTTTTATCATATTTATCATGCAAGTAGAGGCAGAAAACCTCAAAAACCGACTGAATTGCAAGACATTGGCATAGGGAACTTATTAAACAATTTGCAGACCAAAGAGACAAGGCCAATCATAGAAACGAGAAGCTATTCAATTGGAGAGAGAAATAGTTGAGGCGGGCGAGGCTAGCGCGAGATTTGACATCATTATGAACAACTTCATGGGAGTTCAATCACTATTTCTCATTAATCAAATTGTTCAAGGAGATTTGGTATATACTGGATTCATCGGTTGAATCCCAAGGCAGCAGAAACACATAGCATATAGGTTTAGATAGAGAAAACATACCATTTTTTAATTCGATTTCCCTCTCGAGATTGGTGTTGATCTTTTTCTTCTTTTATGCATGCGGTTCCTTCAGATATATAGCACAAATCCTGAGCCTTTGATGGAAGGTCCAAGAGTTCTTGAATCACCAATATGGATTTTCTTATTCTAGTGTTTCTAGAGAGAGTTTTCATATTCTGGGATCTCTAGAGAGAGAAAACATTCAGAAAGAGAGGGTTCTTTGGTATGGAGTGAAAATCTCTCTTGTGAAACACGTGAATCCATGACGAGTTCAACCTTTTTTTCATTTAAATCATTTTTATCAAAATGTCCCATATGGAATCTAATCTAAAAGAGAAGTTATCTTTAGTATTTCGGATAATATTTAATCAAGTCAACTCTATCCTCAATTGAAAATCCATTTCGCATAGGATTCCCTTTTTATTACCCTCTACTATAAACAAATCCAACAATATCATGGATGTTCTTTTTATTAGCCACTGAGAATATCTAAAATTCCATGGAGGTCCCTACACCTACCAGGGGATGACCCCTAATCTAACATCTCCCATACATCCCACAGTGGGTACCCCAAAAAGATGTCAATACTCATTATCATCATCAAGAGATACATCAAGTACTATAATTCTCCCACACTCTATCTGAATATGTGCCATGAGACCTTAAGGGAATATGCATCTATGCCTAGAGAACTACATTAATTCTTCATCAGACTAATGTGGAACACTTCTCTCTTTTTGAAGTATGCTCCAACCTACCCCTTGACGAGGTATATAAGATCAAGAGACTACACAATGGTGCATTCCCACTCAAATCATCCAAGATGACTTTTGTTCTCAAGCAAGCAAAAAATTCATTTGCAAATAATATCATATTATACTATAGTGTTTTGAAAAAAAGAATTTTGCAAAAGAACACTCTTGATAACGTTGTTGCGCAGCTGATGAGTGTCATTTAGTGCAATGGTCATGTGGCACCAACTGTAGTATGATGCCAATGGGATTCTTCTCGCCCTACTATTATTCTGCTTTGGCCTGATCGCCTTGCCTACTCTGCACCCATCAAGTCATATTTGACAATGGAAACGACAACCTCAAGTACTGACATCAAGCCTCCACATGTTAATATAGTCTCAAGGTTTATAAGGGCACTCAGGATCACTATGTGACTAGCTATTCCCACATAGTGGGATAGGGAACAAGGATCATCTCGTACACCTCTCTATATAATAATTGTGGTCTCACTGAATACATGATGTGAGTCACACGCCAGAGTGTAAATGATAATAATACTAATATTAACATCAGGTTTACACCATGTAGGTCTTAGTTCAATCACAGCTATGCATCCATCACAATCCAAGGTTGCAACCAAGCGACTAACCTGAACATCCCTAATGCTCACAGCTGGCTATAGCACTGGATACATGATTTGGTGGATGACATGTAAATCATGTCAACTCCCAACCATGGAATTTCATCTCATTCTCTTATCAAGGGGGTGTTTACACAACCTGTGTGGGTCTCATCCTCACATGTCCCAGTCATTGAGCACAGTCTGCATTGCTCGAGAAAGCAGACCAAGCATGTGGAAATTTATCTCGTAATGAATGCATTCCAAGTGTTCAAGTGTGAATGTAATTAAATTATGTGTCCATACATCGAACATACCACGATACAATTCACTTCTCAAATAATGGTAAAAGTCAAGTTACTCAATGATGATGTCCATAAAGCTAATTAGGGACTCCCATGTCCCAATCCCTTGACACAAGCCCTATACTTCTATCAACCTATAGGCTTGCTTGGTCATGGGCTCTACTGCCATCATGATAGTGGGATCTTTTGTTATGATTGTCTCTTTCCTCTAAATGACATCTCGCACATAGTGATACCTTTCTTTATGTGCCATGCCTTACAGCGATACTTGGCATCCTTTGCAAAGTTAATGCCATCGTGTTATTAAAAAACATTGTCAACAAGCTCTCCAGCACTCAATATGATCCCTAAGCTTTACAGGATCTAGATGATCCACATGCCCTCCTGCAATGCTGCAAAATAATCTGTATACTCCAATTCCATATTGGGCTTGCCACTAATGTCTCTTTCTTATAGCACCAAGAAATCGCTCCCACTAGCACAAAGAAATTATTCCTTGATGTCAATCATCAATGTTTGAAAATTCGCCAGCCCAGCCCCTTAAGCAGTAAAATTTCAAAAACTCCTAGGCACTACTTAGGCAAGACTATTAAGCATCCTGTGCCTAGGGGCCCGCCTAAGCTGGCAAGGCACCTAGTCGCTACAGTCTAGGCGGCGGCCTAGGCACCGCCTCATGACAATTTGTCAAACGACGAGAAAAACCCTCGACGAGGGTCAAAATTCATCATTTTGGGATATTTTAAACCCCCGAAAGAGAAAACCGTGCCTTTTAGAGAGAGAAAAACTCCCCAAAAATTTCTTTTGTGATTTATTGAAAGATCTATAAATTTTTTCTTTTTCGATTTCTTCCCAAAACAAAGGCAATAGTTCATGGGTGTTTTTGAAACTTCTAATAGTTGATTTTAAGGGGCTTTGACGAACCAATAGATGAGGTTTGCACCAATATGGGTTTGATTTTGATATTTTTAAAATACTATCATATTTGCATAAGGGTTTTGATTTGATTTTGCTATAACGTATTATGTTGTGAATCATTTGTTTTTTCTTTTACTTTTTTTTCTTTGACGATATATTTACATGTTTGTAGTTGAAAGATTTAATTTTTTGTGATTTATTGAATTTTTCCTCATTTGGACGATAAAATTGGGATTTTGTGAATACAATATAAACTTTAAAAAAAATTGATAGTTTATGAATATTTGATATCCAAAACCAAATCTTATGGGTATTAATTAATAAATCATAATTATGATATAACTTTCATCTTAATTAATAGCCCACCCGTCCCTATTCCTGAGCGATCGCCAAGGTGGGCAACCGGCCGCCTAGGCGGTCAGGCCCCCAAAACGCTTAGGCACATTGTCAACCATCAATAATCCAAGTCCTTCATCCAATTAGACTTACTCAACCTTCGCAACAAAGATAATTTCCTCAAAATATCCACAAATAGTATGTGGTTATCTAGAGATATCAAGTATCATGCTCATGACATGCCAATGTTTTGGAGCTGGATTGCTCTAGTAGCAACTTGACTAGTCCTATGGCACATCCACCACGTTCACAACATGGCATAAAGAAGACTGCCTACTATAATTACACATGGTACATAAATCATCCTTTTAATTTATCAACCTACATCTATGGATAGAGATTAAGTCTAAGAACATGACCATTCTTGATAGGCATATCAATGGACCCACCATTATGCACAAAAAATCGTTCTAAGATTTACTAATGTAAGTCACTTTAAGACAAACTTAAGGAGCCACTTAGAATGATTGTGCTTGATCTCAACATTGTGCACGTGATGCACATTACGATATCCTACACATGACAATTAGTGGACAACCACTCAGCAGCATCCACTTTCTCCTTGTCATTTCTTGCCATTTGGATAGTATCATCCAATAAAGTCGAGTATACAGATCCTTGACAAGGAATGTCATTTGACCAACCATATGGTCAAGTTCTAAAGCCTAACTCACTGCAATGGCAAACTATGCGGTGAATTGTTACC